AGGAATGCCACGCCACACACAGCTTGCCAGGCTCCGACCTCCCACCCTTTTCAATCTGAAGAGAGGTCTCCAACCCCAAAGAAGCCCTGCCCCACATGACACTGCCTGTAGGGTTTACATTACCGTTCCCAAACCTAGAGGGACATTAGAATCACCTGGAAATCATCAGAAACGATGCTGTGGCCTCCCTCCCAGACTGATGGCTCTCTACGGATGGGAGGGGAGGTTGGAACTCAAGCATCTATAGTTTGAAAAACTTCCCAGGGCATCTGATGCACAGCAAAGTTGGAAACCCCTAAGCTATACTTTCAAAGGGAAAAGAACAACTAGTTAAAAGTCACAATATGTGAAGGGTCAGCAAAACAGAAAAAATATAGGAAAACCATTTCATTGTATGATGTTCAAGGAGCTTTAAGACAGATGGTGTTTCTTACCCGTCTGACTGTGTCCTGAGCTCAAGGACTTTGAATCTTTGTCTTCCGATTGCTTTCACTTTCACGATCTCAATTCCAAAATCCTGTTCTTCTCGATAGGCATATATCTCTGCTGTTGTTCCAAACTGTGCTTCCCTTTCCTGTACATTACTTCCAAGGTAAATTTTAAAAAGGAAACAGTTTTGAACATTTAGTTTTCAGATATGCAAAGGTGACAAAAGCAATACACATGGGAAAACAATTTATAGCAATTGGCTCTCATTGCAAAGCTATTTAATTTTATTTATTTTAGAATCACACAGGGAACTGAGATATGTAAAGAGGCTTCAGGAATTACAGTTAGAGCCCATTAGGAAAAGAATAGATTGCTAGTCATTGAAAATGACCTAAGACTGATAGGAGTTTAAACTCTCACTTCCCAAACCAAACATTCTTTTTATTCAGCAGACCATCCTTTCTGCTGCTTATCGGCAGCACTGTACTGGGGGGCAGAGGCGGGAGGGGGACCTTCCTGTATGGATTTCCTGCCTCTACCACTGATTTCCTCTAATTTTCATGGGATACTTGAAATTCAGCTTCAGTTTAGCACGGGTCTGTAAAAGGACAGCTTAGGAATTTTGAGACGGTGAAATAACTAGTTGCTCTTTTGCAAAAGTAATCCTTTACATTACAATGTAAAGCCCTCTTTTTCTTTAAATAAAGATAGTTCTTGAAAATAAGGTTCTAGAAATGTTTTTCATTAAATATTAATGATATAAAACCTTTCAAATACCAGAAAGTTCAAATGTGTGTGAAAGGTAAAGCCGGATTTAGATGGTAATGATCATACCGAAATACTCCAACTTGCACTTTCACACTTTTTATCCAAATGTTTTACTTCCCAACCTCATCCCATCTCCTGTGCATGCAGAATAGTAGTCAGTTTGGGCTTTAAAACCACCTCTCCTGGGACTGCACAAGAGACTGTTAAGTCAGTCAGCACTAAGATATTACCTGTATGCAAGCACCGCAAAGGTTCTGTCCTTCTGAATTAAATTCCGCACCATACTGACTTCTTGGGGACTGAAAAGCTGAAGAGGTAAGGTCTGCCCGGGAATCAGGATCATCAGCACCTGGGGCAGAACTGGAATCACCGGACAGCTGTCGTCATCGTGCAAAGTCCTGCCATGAAATTCCTCCATATCAGAGCCCAGATACTACAGAAGGACACACACAAGGTCAGTGTCAGTACAGATATGGAGCAGAAACAGAAGCTCGACAGATTGAACAGCAAATCAGCATAAGGAAACACACACAGAGGATACAAATATTTAAATAATAAACTTGTTGTATCAGCTCTCACATGAAAATCTATTTTTGACTCTTAGAAGTAGAATTTCTAATTTCTTGTGAAGAATCTCTCACATATGTAAAAATTCAAGAGCATTTTTTAAGTTCAAAATATTGGGTTGGCCAAAAGGTTCATTCGTTTTTTTCCGTAAGATGGCTCTAGTAGCGCTTAGTTGTCTTCAATTCCACTCGAAACAATTTTGTCAGACTGTATCGCGACAGCTGTCATATCAGCGTGCATTCAAAAAAAAAAACTGATCATAATTGGTGAATTTTTGTGTATTCATTTAAATATTGAAGATGGAAGGAAAAAAGCAACATTTTCATCAAAGTATGCTTTATTATTTTTAAGAAAGGTAAAAATGCAACTGAAACGCCAAAAAAAAAAGATTTGTGCCACGTAGGGAGAAGAGGCTGTGACTGAGCGAACGTTTCAAAAGTGGTCTGCGAAGTTTCGTGCTGGAGATTTCTCGCTGGACGATGCTCCACGGTCCGGTAGACCAGTTGAAGTTGACAGCGATCAAATCGAGACAGTAATTGAGAACAATCAACATTATACCACGTGGGAGACAGCTGACATTCTCAAAATATCCAAATTAAGCGCTGAAAACCATTTGAACCAGCCTGGTTATGTGAATCACTTTGATGTCTGGGTTCCACATAAGTTAAGGGAATAAAACCTTCTCGACCGTATAACCTCATGCAATTATCTACTGAAATGTAACAAAAATGTTCCGTTTTTAAAACAAATTGTGACGGGTGATGAAAAGTGGACACTGTACAATAATGCGGATGGAAGAGATCCTGGGGCAAGCGATATCAACCACCACCAACCACACCAAAGGCCAGTTTCATCCAAAGAAGGTAATGCTGTGTATATGGTGGGATTGGAAGGGAGTTACGAGCTCTTTCTGGAAAAGCAAAAGATTCATTCCAACAAGTACTGCTCCCAATTAGACCAACTGAAAGCAGAAGGCGTCCGGAATTAGTCAACAGAAAATGCATAATCTTCCATCAGGATAACGCAAGACCGCACGTTTCTTTGATGACCAGGCAAAAACTGTTACAGCCTGGCTGGGAAGTTCTGACTCATCTGCTGTATTCACCAGACACTGCACCTTTGGATTTCCATTTATTTTGGTCTGTACAAAATTCTCTTAATAGAAAAATATTTTCAATTCCCTGGAAGACTGTAAAAGGCACTTGAAACAGTTCTTTGTTCAAAAAGATAAAAAGTTTTGGGAAGATGGAATTATGAAGTTGCCTAAAAAATGGCAGAAGGTAGTGGAACAAAAGGGTGAATACGTTGTTCAATAAAGTTCTTGGTGAAAATGAAAAATGTCTTTTACTTTCACTTAAAAACCGAAGGCACTTTTTGGCCAGCCTGATTTTTTTTTTTTTTTTTTTGCGGTACAGGGCCCTCTCACTATTGTGGCCTCTCCCGTTGCAGAGCACAGGCTCCGGACGCGCAGGCTCAGCGGCCATGGCTCACGGGCCCAGCCGCTCCGCGACATGTGGGATCTTCCCGGACCGGGGCACGAACCCGTGTCCCCTGCATCGGCAGGCGGACCCTCAACCACCACGCCACCAGGGAAGCCCCAACCTGATATTTGATTTTGACTAAGCTAGACATCTCTATGTCCAAAGAGCATAAATGACAAGTATAAAATGCTAGAATGTTAAATCACACCCTGGGATCCAGTAGTACAGAGAATAAGAGGCACTTTAGTAGCCCCATTACTAGCAAAGACGTAAGAAGCGCACCAATTCTTCAAAGAATTACAACTAGTAATAGACATGGTATCAAAGTGCTTAAAAATTACAGCTTAAGACGGTTTATCTACTGTCAAGAGCCTATATCCTCATCCACAACTTCTGGTGTGAGGTAATTCCCAGTAATGCTAAAAGCGGTCATTCGTTTTCAAGAACTTCCATCTACAGTTAAATGTACGTATTTATCATACTAGATCTGTTACAAAATTACATACCGTATGTGATGTCGGAAGACTAGTGTCGAAATTTATGATGTTTGGTCTCTTGGGCTCTTTGCTATCCTGGTCTTCAACTTCCATTTCAATTTCATCTTCTTCCTCATCCTCTGCTGTAAAAGTACAGTATTATAAGGAAAAAAACAAACAAACAAAAAACAGAGGCACGAACATGTAAAAGCTATGTTCCCTTTCAAATACATAATACCTTCATGAGGATTCTGGGCGCATGAAAAGAGAGGTTCTTGTGAACACCACACACACTTGGGAATCTGGACAGTACTGTGAAGAGGCAGCTGGAGGGCTGGGGTTTAGGCTGGGCTCTGCCACCAACTACTTTTTTTAAGTCAGTGTTTAATTTTAGAATAGTTTAAGACTTTCAGAAAAGTTGCAAAGATAATAGAGTTCCTGTATACCTCACATCCATTTCCTGATAGCTAATGTCTTGTATTAGTGCGGTACATCTGTCATAACTAAGGAATCAGCATTGGCACAGTACTGTTAACTAAACACATTTTATCTGGAGTTCCTTAGTTTTTATCTAATATCCGTTTTCTGTTCCAGGACAGCATCCAGAACACCACACTACATTTAGCTGTCAAGTCTCCTCAGCTTCCTCTGGGCTGGGCTGGTCTCAGACTTTCCTTGTTTCTGATGGCTCTGACAGTTTTGAGGACTACTGGTCAGGCATTTTTGTAGAATGTCCCTCAATTAGGATTTGTGTTTTGGGGAGGAAGCCTAGGAAGGTGAAGAGTCATTTTCATCATGTCCTATCAAGGGTGCACACTATCGATGTCACCTATAACTACTGAAGCTGACCGTGCTCACCTGGATGAGGCAGTGTTAGTTGGATTTCTCCACTGGAAAGCTACTTTCCCCCTCCTTTCCACATTGTACTCTTCGTAAGCGAATCACTGGGGACAACTCACATCTAAGAAGCAGGGATTATGTTCCACCTCCTTGAAGGGGGACCCACCTGCATAAATGATTTGAAATTCTTCTGCAGAGGAGGTTTACCTCTTCTCCCTTGCTAGGAACTAATTTTGACACCTCAGACAATTCATCCCACCTGATTAAACCTTAGTTCCCTCATTTGAAAAATGACAGGCATGAACAAGAACAATCTCTAAAGTCCTTTCAAACGTTTAACTTTAAAGAGTTTCTGGAGAAGACAGGAGGGCAGTAAGGAAAGAAGGAAGGAGAGAGGGAGGGAGAGAAGGAAGGAAGGAGGGGAGAAAGAGAGGAAGGAAGGAAAGAAGCAAGCCCCCAAATAAACTTCTAAGTGGATAAAGTGTCTTTACAAAGTAGTTCTTTTCCTTTGTGCATATCATTATTTAAATCAAACCACCTCCAGCTAGGTCCCTGACAAGAAAATATAAATGTTTTTCAACATGGCAAATGCCTTGGACTCTCTATTAATTCTTATAAATTCCTTAGATATAAGGCTTTGTCAAAGACAACAACATAATTATTTCAGTTTAAATTCAAATGTTCAGTGGTTGAACACTTCATACATAATTTTCCTAAGCACAAAGGAATTTCATTAAGAGACCGAGAGATGATAAAGAAAAGTCTAAACCGATGACAAAAATATTCTGACGCTACTTCCTTGCGTTCACAATTCTGACAGCACGGCTTTCACTAGGCATTTTGACACTTTATTGCTCTATTACACAGAGTTTAAAAGGTCAAATTTTAGCTTAAAGGCTAGAATTCATAATTTTAAAATTTACATTTTAACTGTTCCAACTTCCATCTCGAAATGATTTCCTTACACCAAGGAGTCTTTCTCATATATAGGGCAGAAACCCACTTCCCCCACCTGGCTATTTATCTATTAATGTTTTGTTTGGTTGGGACAGATTCTTCGAATCTTAAATATTAAGCTAGTTCCTTAGCATTTAAAGTGGATTACTCTTCAAAACAATTCATTCTACATGGATGTATGGACAATCCAATGTTTCTACAAATAAAACTCATGTATGATTTGCAAAAGCATGATTATTGTATTGACAATGTCTCTGAGCCCTTTCGCGCCCGATTTTTTTGGACAAAACACACTGACTGTTGAGAGCTTCCAGGGTGAAGTGTGGTGACTCATCTCATGCAGGAGCAGCATGCGGATGCCAACAGAGCATCAGCATCTTCCCTGACACACTGGCTTTGGCACAGACGGAGCGGGGCTGATGCCTCTGAAAAAACAGCTCAGCTCTTCAGTCAAGTCCAATTCAGCTAGGTTGCTTCCGGATCAACCACTGAGTCTGATCCTGATTTATTTCTCTGGAAAAGGCCCCTCCTATATGGAGGGCATGCCTTCTAGTCTCTTCCTGTTCCAACCCACGCCACTCCCAGTGGGCAAATTCGTCCTCCAAGCACAGCTTCTCTTAGGTCTCAAACCCACAACTGTTTCTTTGCAACCCCCAGTCTCACTGGCAAGAGATGCAAGATTCCCAACACTCCGACCCAACCTTCCAGGCCTTATCTTCTGCAAGTCTTTTGGATGTCTCCAGTACACCCCACAGGGCTTTCCCCCAATCCGTTTCGGCCCTGAACAATCCCTCCCTCTGATGGGGGGGAACAACATTTGCTTAACTGGCCTAAATCAACGGCCTTCTGCTAGTTATATTTTCAGGAGCCTCATATAGATGATAAACGTCCTCAGGTATCAGACTGTGTATCATACCTCTTTTCATCTCCAGGACACCTAACATACTTCCTGACACACAGTGAAGGGACTCAGCTAAGAGTCTCCGTCTGGCTGATACACCTCTTGGAAAGCATCTCCTGTCTAGAGCATTCCACGACAAAACTGTACAATTATTCAAGGTTTTTTTGTACCCAGTATTCCAACGTAAGTCCTAAGTATAAATTTTCATAAAACATAAAAGAGAGAGAAAACTGAGTTTAACATCACAGTCCTAAGTATCTCTAATTAAGCTTGTGCTACCATGTGTTTGAACTATGTGCCTAAGAACAGACCAAATACTGTCTTGGCCGTGAAGTGGTTACGAAACACCACCTAAGCAGACAGACAGACTCGGATAGGAGTCCAGGCCCTGCAACTGTGTGACCTTGGGCAAGTCACACACTAATCTACCAATCCATTTCTCACCCACCAGACCAGGATTAGAAAAGAAATGTGGAGAGGATTAAACGGAGAAACGCATGCAAAGCGCTTATGGCAGGGCCCGTGACGGGGTAAACAGTTAATACATGGTAGCTGTCACCCTTATCAAAGGGAAGAAGTCGAGGAAAAGTCTGGGCTGCTGAGCTCTGTCCCAGTCCCCCGTCTCTTCCCCCGACCCAGTTTCAGACCATTTCCTGGGAGCCAAGTTCTGGACAGACGGAGGATGGACAGCATGGGATCCCTGCCTTTTGGGGGAGACGCCCCTCCCCGCCTCCCAAACCCTCGTCCCCAGCCCGGGGGACCGAGCCGCTGGGCTAAGCGCCGCTACTGGGTCCCTGGCCGGCGGCCCGATCCGCGGCCGCTTCCGGCGCGGCCCCGCCGGCTCCACAGCGCCCGCCCGCCTCCCCGGCCCCGCCGTGCCGCTCACGGATCGGGCCTCGCCCCCTCCCGCCGCCAGGGACCGGCCCCGGCCGGTTACCGGGAAGGAGCGGCAAGTGATTGCCCATGTTGTTCCCAGCGTCTTGCGGATCTCCCTCGCCGGCCATGTCTGTTTACCCGCAGAGGAGCTTGGGACAGGGCGGCGGCCGAGCCGCCGGGGGAGGGTCCGCGCCGCGCCGCCGCCGTCGCGCCCCGGGCCACAGCGCCCTCTGGCGGCGCCCGCGGGGCGGACCGCACGCCGGCCCGCCCGGAAAGGCGCAGCGGGCGGGAGGGCCGTCGCCACGGGGGCCGAGCGCTGTGTCCGCTGCTCTCCGTGACTTGGTGCCCTCCTCGCTCGGTGCAGAGCCCTTGCCTGTTCCCGCCCCTGGCACGACATTTTACATGTGGAGAAACAGGCTCAGATTCTTTAGTCTCCACCTCGCTCTTAACGAGGGGGCCGGGGAGCAAATGGAAACCCAATTATACAGCATTGGCTCCAATTTTTAAAATACAAACCGTGTACATGGAGACTGGGCCAATGCATCAATTATTCCAAGGCCGGTTGGGTTGTAGCCGATTTTCAACAGTCTTAAGTAGTTTACATATATAATTAACATGTATTGGTCAGAAACAAATACTGGAAATGATGATAACACAAAATACAAAAAGGCCTATGACTGGCAAGTGAGATTGTCAGAATATAAAACAGCTTACTCATTATTACTTTAACAAAAATGAGTCATTATATGGCCAAAAAAAAAAAAAATACTGCAGAATGCAGAAAGATACATAATTCTGTTGACTGGTAAGGTTCCTGTTTTGGAGGATGGAGAAAAGTTTCCTTAGTATGTTTTCAAGGCATCTTTTCAGCGAAGGAGGAAACTGACAACTCCGTATATGCAATAAAACAGCTAAACATTGTAGGGAGGAGAGGGGTGAGGGGACTCCTGTGAAGAAAACAATAGTGAATGCGGTACTTTAAAATGTTTGTTCGAAAAGTTTGCTCACTGAACAGTTACAAGCCGAAAGAAAACCTCGGGAGACAGGCTGATGAATTCATTCAGAGTCACTCTGCCTTCTGTCCCCGAACACACTCTTGGGCCTTGGTCGAGTCATTTATGGACTCAGTTTACCCATTTGCAAAATGAGAATGGGTCAAACAGCATCTCAGATTTGTTCTAATTAACAATGGCTGCAGTATTAATGATAGCATCGCCTTTTATGGTTATATAAAACAATTACAGATTATAGGTTAATAACAATTACATAGGATACATTATTGTGATGGGTTAGTAGAATTAAGATGGTCACTCTAGACAGCTGAAGGATGAGAGAAAGGAGAATGCAGGAGAGAGAGAGAGAGCAATGAGAGAAAGGCTGGGCTCTGTGAGTGTGTGTGTGTGTGTGTGTGTGTGTGTGTGTGTGTGTGCGGGAGAGAGAGAGAGAGCGATGAGAGAAAGGCTGGGCTCTGTGTGTGTGTGTGTGCGGGAGAGAGAGAGAGAGCGATGAGAGAAAGGCTGGGCTCTGTGTGTGTGTGTGTGCGGGAGAGAGAGAGAGAGCGATGAGAGAAAGGCTGGGCTCTGTGTGTGTGTGTGTGAGAGAGAGAGAGAGAGAGAGAGAGAGAGAGAGAGAGAGAGAGAGAGAGAACGGTGATACCAAATACACACACATATATATATACATTAGCAGTCTTACTATGGTTTATAGAATTGCAAAGAACTGTGCTCACCTGCAGCAGAAGTTTCTTTACATAGCAAACATCTGGCCCCTAAACGAGGAAGCTCTGACCTTCCCGGGTCCTCCCCAGAGGTGGTACCAGCACTGTGCCCTGCACCCCGGGTCAACCAAGAACCCTGTGGGCAAGAAAGGACAGCTGTGAGCCTGGCGGGGTCAGCAGATGTGGCTGGAAAAGCACTCGCTCCTCTTTCTTCCTTTGTGCTCAGCCCCAGGGTCACTGATGCTACCATCTGTGTACCTTTCACTCCCCATTCACCTCCTTTTCCTCGCCTCCATTCACATTCACCATCTGCTCCCGCCTTCATTTCATTACCTTCCCGCCTTGCTGGAGTCTACTCAGTCTTCCATAGCTTTGTCTTTCAATAGCGGTAACAACAAATGATCACTGAACAAAAACATCTCAGCAAGCAGGTTTCTTGAATTAAGCCCTGGTTATTAAAACCAGAAAGGAAAACGTGATCATTCACCATTTATTTTTAATTGGGTAACTTTATCCTGAAATAAGGCATCACACTGAGTGGCTTACATTGCTTCTTGTTTGTATGAAATGCATTCATTGATAAGGAGCTCTGCAAACCAGTGGGAAAGGAAACTTATAATATCATAGATCTTTGTCTTATAGTTCGAGAATTAACTTTAATAGGATATAATTAAGGCTGATATTAGATGATACAAAATTAGAATCAAAAACCCCCACTGCACTTTTAATTTCTGGCTTCTACACTACGTTAGCAGCAAGGGATACACATACTGGGAAGAGACATTCTGGGCTCCCTTCTGGCTTTTGCATTATCTGCAAACAGATTTTTCATGTGTTAAAGAAAACTACCGCCTTGGTCTAAGCAGCCAATGATCTCTTGCCTGGAATACTGCAATAGCTTCAGTGATGGTTTTCTGGCTTCCACCTTTGGTGCCCACAGCTCATTCTCAACAAAAGAGCCAGAGTCAGACCACGTGACCACCCTGCTCAGAGCCCCTCCTTCCCTCCCCACCTCACTGTAAGCCACCTCCTCCCAGTGGCCTCCACATCCTGCTCTGACCTCCCTTCACAACTGTCCAGGCTCTCCCACTGCTCGGGCCCCTCTGTTACACAACCAGGCAAGGGCTGCTCCCACCTCAGGGCCTTTGCACTGGCTATTCCCTTTGTCTGGAATGTTCTGCCCCAGTGTGGGCATGTGATTTGCTGCCTTACATCTTCCAGGTCTTTGATGAAATGTCCCTCCTTAGGGAGTCTTTCCCAGATTACCCAATATCTAACTGCAACCCCACCCCAGTCTCATCACCCTCTCTCCTCCTTCTCTGCTTTATTTTCTTTCAGAGCACTGATCACCTTCTAAAACATTGTGAAGCTTACTTTTTAAAAATATCCTCCCCACTCCAAGAATGTAAACTCAGTGGGGGAAGTCAGAGATCTATGCCTCTTGTGTCTACTCCTGTGTCCCAAGGGCCTGTCACTTAATAAATGCTCAAAAAAATGTTTATAGAATGAAGGAATGAATGAATTGCACAGTTATGGGAGACATTGCTGATTGACCTGTCACCAATTCCTCTCTTCTTCCTGGCTAAGAACCCTCATTTTGTTTGGGGCAACGGTGTGCCCAGCCCCACAGAGTCACATTTGCTCTAAGCCCGTTATAGCCCACTCCCCTTCCCTGTGATTTTTTGCAGCTCGTGGCAGCCAGGAGACACAGTTCTGGCTGATGTAACACAGAGAAAGTCGGCGTGGCAGCCATGGAGAACAGTGAAAACGGAAAGTTTTTCCTTCATGATTAACGGAAGAGATTTCATTCCTACTCACTCCTGCAGGGATGAAGATTAAGCTCCATATTGGTTTGCCCAATAAAACCAGCCAAGCTAGTCCAAACAGCCAAAAAGAGCTTTTAAAGGAAATCATGAACTTCAGAAAAATCAAAACTAGGTTTACTTGTAGTTATATTTATCATTTTAAAATGAAGGGATTAATTCATTAATTTTGGAACTCTGTAAATCTTCTGACTCTTTACCTTTGTGTGCAAAAGCACATGTAAGCGACAGCTTTACCTCGTCCCCACAGCCCTTTCCCAGTCTTCCAGTGTGACACTTCTGTCTACCACTCTTAAGACAGAGGTCAAAAACTGGTGACCCCCAAGAGAGAATTCGAAGGAAGTGTTTGCTCTTTGTGGTATTTTGAGCTTTTGAATGAACTGACAACATTTAGAAATTGAAGGATACACATACAAATATTGATTTCCTTTTAAAAATGGGAACATTTGGCAACTGTAGTTTAGATTCACGTGTGGGAACAAATGCCTTGAACAAACTGGCAGCTGTCCTTTTAGATGGGGTGGCCCTGCCTGGATCCGTTCGGCATTGTGTTTGACACCTGTCGTATGGGCACGTATAGGGAGAGTGACACCAACCCTAACTGGTCCACGGCAGCCGTGGCGTGTGTCTAGTGGACCAGAGCACCCACTGTCCCATTCCCCTCTCCAAAGTGTGCCAGTTTGGACAATGAATTATATGCTCCTGAGGAGCTTGGAGCACTGTGCCGGGTCTATGCAGTCTTCAACAACCACTGTGGAGGATTCCCAGTCATGTTTAGCAATTCCTTGAGAAGAAAGGGTTGGAGTTAAGGATCTTCAATTCTTTGTAGCTCTGCAACACTTCCATGAAGTCGTGCTGTTACTAACTTAAGAAAAAAATCTTTGGAATTAAAATCCTGTTAAGTCTCATGGTCCTAATTTCCAGAAACCATAGCTAGTTTTCAACACTTGCCCAAGTGGACAGATCTTTTTAATTTGGGGGCGGGGGCGGGCAACCTGAATATCAGGAAAAGTAATACTCTATCGGGGCCAACGCATCTCTTCTTTACTTCTCACCTTCAAGCGCTGGATCTGGAAGCCATTGTCACGGGATGTGCATTTTGGCATCTATCATCCTGTAAATCCCAGAGTTAAAAGGGAATGAAAGATGGATCTTGGCTGTTTACGCAGCCCTAGAGGGGAGAGAGCAGGCATAAAACCAGATTTATAAGGATATTTCATGGCCCCTTCAAAATGCTGACAATTGTATTAACTACTCACTTTCCTATTTCAACAATATGGTGAATCATTTGGGATTCGAAAAAATAGCTTTATATACATCTCTGACTGCTACGGTAATATTTTCAGAAACACCAGAGCCTATTCAAGTCCAAGCAGGTTGGATTATTTGCAAAAATGATTATTTGTGATGATACTTAATGCTGCAATTTACTGAGACTTCCTGCCATCCCATCCATCTCTGACCTGACAGGTAAAAGAGGGAAGATTGTGCAAGACAGTAAAGTTTTGGGCAATTTATGGTTTTAAACTTGTATACTGTTTTCATGACTCATCCAGGAGCTTTTCCTGATGCCACGTGCTCTTTCCACTGCAGTTAAAGGCG